GGTAGAGAAGAGAAAGAGAGAACGATTTTCAAATTTCATGTTCATCACGCACAAGGCCGTAGCTAGACCGCTTAATTGGGGGAGGGTATTCATATATCGTGTTACAAAGAAATCAGTCTGGCGTAAGAGAATATGCAAACCTCCCCCTTTTGAAAATAGTCTGGGCCAAGCATAAAATAAATGTATTTTGACATACATACTTATCATCTAATTTTGTCGGTTTTTCATTACCAACGTTTTATAGCGACATACAAAGCTAAGCAACTTGCACAAGCAATCGACAGTTCATGATGAGCGCTAACGAACTGACTAAAAACAAAATGGCGCACCCTTATTATTGCAATCATATGTTATTTGATTTTTATATATCATGTTCAGAATGTACTCGGTTTGGTTAATTTACGTTCAAAGGAAGAAAAACTTGATTTCACACGCGTACAAATTAACATGTACAAGTAATTACGTTTTTGCTGATCCATTTTGTCCCGGCAAATATAGAAATTTCCAGTTTAGTCAGGACTATTTTGTGAAATGAAATACATTCTACAGAGACAATAAATATACATAAAATGTACCTTGTATTTCTTTAATTTCCAGTTTCAATGAGCTTACTTTATAAATTATTTCCAAATATTCCAAACGCCTAAAACAGGAAACGAAGAACGCGATGCTCTCAATATTGTTATCTTCCCCAGTCCCTACCCCTGTAATGTCGCAGATCTCAAACACGAACTGGATCAAGAATATTTTCTACAGTCCAACCTAATTTCAAAAGATATTGATCCATGAGGGAATTTATTTGCGAAAATTAAACTATATTAGATTTAGCTATATTAAATCAAACCATATTAGACGCTTCATGTTTGGATCAGGTAAGGTGATCAGGTGTTTTTTTTCTAAAACAACTCACTTAATGGTTTCCGGTGCTTGGATTGCCTGATCCAAAAAACACTTGGGAATGTTTGTTGGAGTTTGAACAATGTTGAAAGTTGTTGTTTCGAGACTGATGTGTCAGGAGGGCGTTCTGGACTGATGTGTCAGTAGTAATTTGTTTTGAAAATGTTGTAGACTTCCAGCCGTTCCATTTTTGTTGTGATGTGTTGCATTGTACGGTACCGTATCATGTATTATATCGTATCGTGCCGTAAGTGTATCGTAATTGTGTGTTGTATAATATTTTATATAATAACGTTAAGGATTCAAGCAATTTCATTGGTCGAGACCCATGATCTATAAGAGGACAGACGCAAGGTAAGTTTACCGAATTTAATCAGTAATCTTTGTTTTATTTTTGTCAGCCAATCACCGACTTTAGCACGTGTCTTAAACTAGCCAATAGCATTTCTTCAATCTTATAGATCATTCACGCGTGATATCTATAACTGAAAAGACAACGGTTCAATGTTATCTATTTGTTAAATATCTTGTAATTTTATCATATGTAATTTTATCATATTATAAGTCTTATAAGTAAAACTCCACGCAGAATTTCTTATCTTTGTGCTTTCGATATATTTGGTGATATAAATATACACAAGAAAAAGTCAAGACGACACCGTAGCCGTTCGGAGAAAAAAAACTACTTGCTTTATAGTCATCCAGTGAATCTATGTTTAAACAAATTTCGTATCTAGAGATGCTTTAATTTGCAAAGAGAGTTTGCGTTAAAACGCGACATGGGCACCAGATATTTATATAATCAGTGATATCAACATAATTGTAAAATACATCATAGTAACCAGTGCATGTAGTCCCAGAGTAAACACAAGATTTGTGATCAGAAACTCGCAGATATCATTGAGAATAGGCAATATTATACTGCTAAAGCCAGAGAAAATCGTTCCTTGTCAACATTTCAACACAAAGTATTCGAAACTTTAGGTACATTTGCATATAGTCCCAGAATAAACACGTGATTTGCAATTTGAAATTTAGCTGACGATGACCAAGAGCAGACAATATTATCACGGGCGTAGCGTCCGGTGGATGTGGGTGGGGCTACACCCCCGCAGTTTTCGTCAGGTGGTCGGCTAATCGCGACGTCAGGCGGTAAAGCCCGATTCTTATATGTCACCGACGGTCGGCGATGGCTATTGTCGGTGATCACTAGAGAATAAAACGCTTAGTTATTTTATGTAAATTTTCTTCGTGAACGACCACAAACATAACATCGTCGAACGTCAATGACATATGAGAATCAGGCGATTCTTGGATTTTAAAGGCAATTCTGCGATCATTACGTCCGCTCCACCCGGGAAAGCTTCTCGAAGCGGATGAAGTGCACGGTGATAGAGAATCGCCTTAATTAACAGCACATAAGTGTCAGTAAAAGCACAACCTGACTCTTAAGCTCGACTTGCTTAAGCCCCGTTTACACCACACTTGATTTATTGGCACGGCACGGCTAAAATGGGTACCCGTGCCCATTTCATTTGTTCTCGGCCTTTTTGGTAGCCTGAACACTAATAAAATTAAGTACAGGTACCAATTTTAGCTGTGCCGTGCCGTGCCGATAAATTGACTGTGGTGTAAACGAGGCTTAACAGATTCTCAAAATTTTGCATGTAATGTAATCTAATCAATGATTATGTGCCAGTGATATCGGCTTTACCAGTGATATCGATACATGCTACAGTGCAAGCCAGTTGTTAATTATAATGTTTGTATATACTGTAAATAGTTACTTCAGCAATTTATTTTAATTTATAAATGATACAATAATTAAACCTTGCACCAACCGAGCAAAAGGCTGGATGCTTTCTTTACAGGGGCTTCAAGTGTGACGTGTTTGTCGGTAAACTTAGGGGTTTCCCCGCCCCCCTTTCAGTTAAAAAAGTCACGCTACGCCTCTAAATATTATGCTGCATAAGCCATGGAAAATCATTATTTACTGACGTTTAAACACAAAGTATTCGAAACTTGAGGTACCATTTTATAGTATGTAATTGCATGAACAGTATATAGCGTTTTGGTTTGATATATTACTCTTTAGTAACTGATTTGAGCGTACTTTTGTTTATAAAGTGTTCGTTGTTGTGGTAGAGATACTGTATGTTTCAAAATACCGTAATTCATAAGTCAAAGATTATCGAATTTCACTTTGGCATTAGAGTTAAAAGATCAATTTTCGCAATTCACGATTTAAGCTTTTAGAAGCGGTAGTACTGACTCTAATAGAGCTGTCGGAAATGTTATAGCTACATCGGGACATATTATAGCTACTAACGGTTGTGCCAAGTCGATATACGTTTCGAAGCTTATTAGTCAATGAAAGCCTTGCAATTGTTCACTTGTCGACGATAATTAATCAACCTTGAGAAGATATGTCTGTGGTCGCTTTAAAATGACACAAAACAAAAAATAAAACGGCGTACGTAAAAAATTTGGCATTTACGATGTAGAATACGATACTTCTATAGATATTGAATAATAAAAAGTGAGCGCTTCGCTTTGGTTGCCTGACACCAAACTTAAACTCGTATCATGCATAGCTATCCTATTGTTGATGAATTCCCAGACACTAATTGTTGAATTTCCACAACGTTTACGAACCCATCGTTTCGAATAATATAAAATAAAAAAAACGCACAGATTCAGTTGACTATAATAAAACATATGTCAAAGACTTAAGACGATATCGCTGACCTTACAGTGAAAATTTCATTCAGAAGATAGATAAGCAATTAATATCGGTTATTAGGAACTGCCGTGAGTCGAAGAAATCCTCAATTTTTTTTAACTAGAGTGGATATTTAGGATCTTTGAAATATTGTTAGTGTCAGGTTATTGAGGAGAAATCCGGATATCAATGAGTTTCACATGAGATTGCTCTTTGTGAGGTGATTGAATGTTTCAGTTGACTGCGTGTCTCGGGAGATAATCATCAGATTTAGCTTGAAGACGGGAATATATACATGTTTTAGCTTAGTTTTTGGGCGGATTAGAACCCTGGCATGGCGCTTACTCGCTCGGAAATTTTGTACTTTGTTATGTAGACAGACAGCCCAAAAATAAGCGTGCGACATCAATGTTTATGTTCCTATATAACGCTAAGGAAAGCAACTTCCGCTCGAGCTTACGAATTAACCATGTAAAAGAGAAAGGCAAAAATATCAATAGAGTCTAGTAGAAACTTATGGGGCGTTTTGCGTCTGTCTGACACATTTTTTTACGTATATGACGTGAATTATTTTGTCCCCCACCAGGATGCCAGAGTTTTAGGTCACGTCATTATAATATAGTAGAGTGAAAAATGCGACTTCGCTGTTTTTATGCCAATCACTTTCATGCATTAGTAAAAAAATGACGTGGGCCACAACCTCTGGCATCCAGGTGTGTGGCAAAAATAATTCACGGCAAATGCGTATTTCAATTTTTTTCCCTCAGGGATCAGGGAAGTTATCATTCTTTGGTATTTTTAATTTCAAGTTTCTATTTGTGTATATTGATGTTTGTGGCATTTATTTATATGGTTACTTCGTAGGTCTTAGCAGAGCCCATACCTTAACATTAGTCATGTACGATGATAAACATTGATGGCACACATTTATTTTTGGGCTGCTTATGTTATAATATCTTTTAATATATTTTAATATATATCATAATATCTTTTAGCATATCTCCTGTATGGCAGAGACATTTTCGGAAGCTGGAAAAGTTTTACGAATTGGTGCATCATTATTTGGTGGTTTATTTGCGTTCACTGTTGCCACGGACAATGTAGAAGTAGCAAAGGAAGTGTGTGGAACAGCGAAAACGCTAGGACAAGGACTGGGACAAGGACTAGGAGCAGGACTGGGAATAGGATTAGGTCTGGGAGCTGTATATGTGGCTTATAATTCATTAAAACCAATAATCGAAGGTGCAGTTAAAAGAGGTGTTGGTGGCGAACGCGATGATCAGGACGTTCGTGACATTCGACCAGGATGTTTGCATTTTGAGTTACACTGTTCCACAGATGAAAGGTTTCTAGAGTCTTGGCGGATTACGAATCAGGAAGGATGAAGGAAAGCTTGCAAGAAGAACTTTCTCTGGTTGGAATTAAAGTGGAAGGACTGAAGGTGAAGATTGAAAACATGGAGGAGGTGAATGAAAAAAAGGAAGCTATAAACTTGAGGTACATGACAAAAGCTTCTATCCATAGAGATATAGAAAATGGTTAGGATTTAAACGTGTGCATTCTGTGTTTCGTTAATTAAACGCCTTACGTATAAGAATCCAAACAGATAATTGAAATCATTAAACTCGAGCGTTCAGTTTGTTTAACTTTGAAGAAATTTGTTACCATGCCTTTGACTGTTCACAGCTCTCCAATTGCGAGTTCAGTGACATCATTAACGTTAACTTCATATCAAGGGTCTTCATTACGCACGGCGAGAACCTTGGTATTAGTTCGCCACGTTCTTCCCAAAATCTGGGACGTGACAAAATACTATATTTGGCACAGTTGGGAGGTGGAAAATTCTGAAAAACAAACTTCATCTGGGCGTCAGATAAAATAGGAACTTTAAGATTGACGTTTATGGCAAACCGATAACCGCAAACAGGTCCAATTCTTTAGTCAAGTATTATTTGGTTGAAGACAATGTTCAAAACCTGTAGAAATTACTTTCAAAGCGATGTAAGGTTCAACGTTTGTGGTTAGCGGTCTGTGGTGTTTGCCGTCAACGTCAATCTTAACGTCCATATTTTTAACCATCCATGTATTTTTGTTTTCATTACACAATAAAAAACTCTTTTTTGAAAATTTTTTATCCCCCAGGGCGCGTATACCTGATTCCTAATTGGTGGATCAAACACGATAATTCCACCTGTATTATTTTCATTAATAGTCGCGTTTTACAATGGCGCGCGCGGATTCGCCAATAAAACGCTAGCTGCATATTGTATAACAAACATTGATATCTTAAGCCGCGTTTACATTACGTACAAAACCTGGCCTGGACCAGGCCTAGGCCTAGACGTGAACGTTGTTTATCCGGCCTAGACCAGGCCTGGACCTGACCTGTGGCAAGAGTTTGGTAATGCGAACAGGCTTTACCCTGACAATTTTGGACTTAATAGTATAATTTATATAGGACACACATAGTTTAACCACTTTTCGGCGTGTTTTGGGTCTTTTCCAAGTATTTTGTCAATTACTTTGGCTATCCGATATCATCAACAAGGAAGACCTTGGCACATATTACCTAGACTTGGCCTAGACCTGGTCCAGGCCAGCTCCAGGCCTGAAGTGTAAACGCGGCTTTAGGAACACAAATTCAGCATTAATTCTCTGAACAATATTTTTTTTGAATGATAGAACATAACATTCTCACGTTTTTTTTCGCGCAACACAGATCTCATATCAACAAGGATCTTGGCGAGATGGTAAAACATATGGATGTTGATGGTGATGCAAGTGATGAAATAAAAAGTAATCAGGTAAATATTTATTTTGAATCTGTTGCATTGGGATCGTACAATTAGCAACTCGAAATCTCATACCTACAGCGCAATTCAAAGAATTGTATATATATCTATACGTCTTACAAATTCTTAGAGAAAAACAGATGATACCGACACGTGTACGACTGAATGTCACTACGACCTTGAAGATCATCCTGAAATAGCTCAAAGGTACTTCAACATTGGTTACATTCAATATCACATGAAAGATTATCAGTCAGCATTAGAATCGCATATGAAAGCTCTCAAAATCAGATTAAAGGTATACGGAGAAAATGACCCTGCAACAGCTGATAGTTATTACAGCATTGGAGCCGTAGAACAGGACAGGGGGGATTACAAGTCTGCATTAGAGTATTATCAAAGAGCTCTTGAAATTAGTTTAAAACTATATGGCAAAGATCATTGTGACACAGCCGACACATATTACAGCATCGGAATCACACAACATGCGATGCATGACTACCAGGCATCAATAGAATCAAATAGAAAAGCTCTAAATATCAGATTAAGATTACATGGGAAGGCCATCCCTCGACAGCTGATAGTTACTACTGCATTGGAATCGCGCAGCATGAGATGAAAGATTACAAATCAGCGTTAGAATCCCATGAAAAAGCTCTTGAAATCAGATTGAAAGTGTATGGAGATGATGACCTTGCAACAGCCGACAGTTATTACAACATTGGATACGCACAACATGATATGAAAGATTATATGTCAGCATTGAGGTCAAAACGAAAAGCTCTTGAAATTCGATTGGGACTACGTGGGGAAGATTATCCTGAGACAGCTGACAGTTACTATAGCATTGGAGTCACACAACATGAGATAAATGAGTACAAATCAGCATTAGAGTCATATCAAAAAGCGCTTGAAATCAGATTAAAAATTTACGGAAAAGATCATGCTGCAACAGCTGACAGTTATTACAATATTGGAGTCACACAGCACGAGATGAAACATTACAAGTCAGCATTATATTCGAATCGAAAAGCTCTTGAAATCAGATCGACACTATATGGAGAAGATCACCCTGACACAGTTCAAATTTATTACACAATTAGTGCGATACAGCGTGAGTTCGCAAATGACATCAAATTCAAACGAGAACAGTTGCTAAAATCAGTTTTGAGATACTAAAATCCCCCCCCCCCGGGATTTTAATATAGACAGTAATAAGATCTCGAGAACAAATAAACTATACCAGGAGAATCTTGAAGCAGGTTAAAGTTATTCCGATTATGCATGGATACACTGATCGAACAATAGCCATGCAGAAAGGCACGGACTTGGAATATGCAGATTGCCGTAAATAATTTGTTCAAATATTTTTCAATTGAAGCATTATAAATTACATTGCGCATTTTTAAATTTGAAAAATTCATTGATATTTTACAATTTGCCCAGTTTGCTTCTTGTAAATCAAGGCATACCAAAGTTCCTCGGGTAATATTTTGCCAGCGGTTGTAATTTAGCAAATCTGCATTTTTAGTTTATTTTTACCAACCTTATATGTATGTTATTCGACGTGATCAATGGTTAAAACTTTAACTTGGAAAAGCAGGACGAATACTATTGTCTGAGGGGTGTGGCGGGGTGCTACACCCCCTAGTTTTGGCAAAGTGGTGAGTTAAACGCGACGTCGGTCGGTAATAGCACACACACGTTGGTAAAAAGTATAATTTTTCTCAACTTGCTTAGTTGCTTGCCGTAATTTGACAAATCGTCTTACTCGTTTGCTGATATATCGTCAAACAGATTCTCAAGCTTTTGCATGTAATGTCCAATCAATAATTATGTGCCAGTAATATTGACTTTACTAGTGATATCGAAACATGCTACAGTTTAAGTCAGTGGATAATATTTATTTAGATATAGTATATATAGCTTCTCAATCAAGCAATTCATTTTAATCTATAATAACTAATGATAATAACTTTTAATCTCTGATAATGAATTGAACCTTGCACCAACCGACCAACTAAAAGGCTATAATTATATGCTTTCTTTAGACGCGCTTGGAGTTCCCCGGCCCGCAAAAATCAGAGATTGCACCCCCGAGTTAAGGTAGTCACGCTACGGAGATCTCCAAAAAAATTCACCATGAAAAAAGTTAGTCAAATTACGTCGTTATATGCTGAGAAAACAGCGTCAAATTCAAATAAATTGACCAAATATGAAACCAGTACTGGATTATTTCGAACAAGTTTAGGCGTTAGTCATATTTAAAAAAGACCAAAAACTCCGCATGGAAGGGGCTCACCAAAGTTCAGGATCACATGACCTCCCTGAATCCTAGCTCGCTCGCCACCTGCCCCCCGCTTAAGGAAAGAGGATAACTCACAGATAGCAATCTCAGGTATTATACTAGAAGTAAACATTTTTTGCGGGCCAAAAATCTGTAATGGAAGTCTGTAAAAAGTCTGTCTAATACAGGTCTATTCGTGGATTGAAAATATAAAGAGACTGATTAGAAAAACAAAGATTTATAATGCAACAGCAGAAAATGTAAAATTTATATCTAATATATGTAGGTATATATAATTATATCAATACTCGTAGAAAAAGATCGAAGAATTTCTCCGTTGAGTCCTTTCTTCATTTCGACTTGTGCGGATATAGCAATATTTTACGGAAACATTGGAGCCACACTATGTGAGATGGAAGACTACAAATCTGCATGGAGTCGCACAACAAGTATCTTCAAATCAAAGTGAAATTGTTTGTAGAAGAATATCGTCCCGACACGGGGTGACATTAGTCGAGCAAAGCTTAATTCATATTTTACACAGCATATGTCGTATTTTGCACATTTTAGAGACATTCCGAAATGGTTACCGATTTTAAAAAGTGGGTAATATCCCTATAATTTTCTTTAAAAATATAACTATAACATATCAAAATCTAAGCAAATATTTCAATATATATATATATATAGTTCTTCTTGTTGCAGGTCATTATATAAAAGTCTATTAGTATTATAGTACACCAGTTTATCTACACAGTATATATAGCCTATACACACAAAAACACACAAGTTGTGACAAATGCAGCAGAGTAGCGTCTATAGCAACAACGGATTCTTCAACGGATTATTCTAACAAGCTGATATCAAGTTGTGTTCGAAGTTCGAACTGCTTTGTTGACAAATTGCTACAAACCCGCAGCAGGCTAGCTACAAGCTTGTTGACTCTGCCGAGAGATTTGAGACAAGATGCGAGATTTTTACATGTGTACGTCAAAATAACCAGTGAATTTAGTCACGAGAATAAACACGTGATATGTAATTTAAGACTTGATGTTGTAGATAGTCGTCGAAAATAAACAATATTATTATGCTCCTCAAGCCAGAGAAAATCATTCCTAATCGACGCTCAAATGCAATATGATCGACATTTGAGGTACCATTTTATAGTATGTATTTGCGTGAACAGTATATAGCATTTTGGTCGGATATTTTAGCTTTTTGCAACAATTTTGAGAGTACTTTCATTTATATAATATTCCTTGTTGGAGTTCAAATGTATTTCGAAATAGTCATATTTGAGAGGTCATAAATATGATGAAATCTCAAAACAACATTCAAATTACAGTATTTGCGTAATATCCATGCCATTTGGATTGCATCAAACTGCAGCTCTTTGTAATGGTAGTTTAGACATAGAAATATTTTGATATATAAATCGGGACAGAGTTCGATTACATTCTCTTTGAAGCTACAATTCGTGTCCGATGAGCTTTATATGTTTACTGTAATGTTCTCTATAATTTTGCTAATAATATAAACTTTGCATAACTTGAAGTATAAACGTTAACAAGTTTTCGTTAATATTATTTGCCTGCTTCACAGTTAACGAGCTATAGCGGAGCGAACGTTTATTTTTCAAAAAAAATTATAGCCAGAGCCAAACATTTTAGTCAAGCTGATGGCACGCTTGCATAATACGATAATTACAATAGAAATTTTTGATATGAAATTCCGATCAACGATAATATACAGGGATAATTATTGTACAAAACTATTGAAATCACCTGTAACAATGTAATAGTTAGAGTTTGAGTGCCCAAGCACCCTGTTGGGACCTACAAGTCTATTAGTGTTTGGCATAATCAATTTTATGCATGACGACAATAAAATTTTTTTGTAACCACATATGATTAACAATGTTTACCAATATGGATAACAAAATTTAAATTTACAACTCCAGTACCATGACCTTAATTGAACATGTCCCTTATCTGTGGCAATTTGTTTGCATCATGAGTATTTTATCATGAGTTGCATTAATCCTCTAAGGGAAAAATTCGCGAACAAGTCATTATAATTTTAACAATAAGTGTTAAGTTATGTCTTCCTCCTTGCAAGACTAAATCTTAGGCTACGCAATAGTTATATCTAAGAAAACTTTGTTTACGTCAACGATAAATACTGCTCTACCATAATATTTGGTATTCTAAATGCAGCATTGTCGCTAGTGTTATCTTATGCGTTGAAATACATATCTACTGATCTACATTATAGCAGGTGTTATGAAACTTGGTCATTTTAAACTACAACCATACGCCTTACCCTAAAGTACTAACCTTGTTTGTGGTAAAAGTCAAAATTCCAAACGCGTTTAGAACAGATTGATTCCGCAGCTTTTTTACAGTCAATCAATTCAACATACAATCCGTGGCTGTCAACCTAGAGCGATATAAATTACAATTTGCAACTCGTAAGCGCTATTACTCAAACTACTATCCACGAAACTGGCAATAAACTGAAATGTACCGGTATTTCTTAAATTCGAGCCTTTGTTTGATGTTCTCAGCTTTACAGTAGCTACGTCAATAATATTTTGAAAGTCTGAAATACACGATATTTTGATGCCTCGCTTCTCCCAGTTATACATGTGATCATCCCTAGTCCCTAGCGCCGTCAGCAAAGTGCCAGAGCAGGCCTGGGCTCTAATTAGTCGCTATTGTCGTAAACATCTCATTGATGTCAAGGTGGCCGATGTAATGGAAAATTTCTACTTAGGTGCATTTGAAGACGATAGGTTTAATCCTGTTAAATATAAAGACTGATTAATTCGCTATGGCTGCATTAATTCAACCGGTACCAGATTCGTTTGTCACGACAGCTTCGTTTGCCCTTACGAAGCGACGATTATTACCAAGTGATTATTAATTTATTTTATTTCGCGGCTATATTTATTCAGATCTCGGACTTTAAAAATATCCACTGTTTCTTTTAATTTCAAAATTTGACTTGTTCTGGTCGGATTATCACTGTTAACAGTGATAAACTTTCAGAATATTAAATTGTAACTCTTAAATATTAGACTGTAGTATGGCTTATAAACTTTGGTAGAATTTCGGGTTTTAAAACAGGTAAATATAGGCAATTTCCATTCAAATCGTAGCTACTTTATATCTGGTCGACGGTCGTTCTGCATGATAATTCTGTAAGGATGCATGCATGTGAATTGTTGGGTGATGAGTAAATTTGAACTTTGCTTAATTGGTGATTAAGAGCGCACAGTTTCAAAATCTTTGCCTAGAAATAGATAATTTTTCTAAGGATTTTCATAAAATACAGTGCCAATTGTGTTTTGTATTCTCCTACAAAAATACAGCCAGACTTCCACATGTAAAGAGAAGTTTAATCTTTATACAAAGCTGTGCATATAATGCGCAAGTGCATATCAACAAATCCACTTTCCAATTCACACGATATCATTTATTGTAAATTAAAAAAAAAGTTATCGGCTGGACTCAGACTTTTGACCCCCACTGTATATTATTATTGTGAAAATGCCAAAAATTGAATCTTGTAGGTGGGTTTGCTGTAACATATTAGTCTTTATTCCTGAAAATAAAAGCAGCTATATGTTGCTAGGTAATATAATAGTGTTGCTCAGTATACTTTATAAAATCATTACGAAAGCAGAAAAAGCAGAAAATACTTCAAGGATTGTATAAAGTAGTTCCGAGTTCCTACGATGACGTGAGGTAGCACCAATTGCCTCGCACAAATTCTTTACGTTCTAAACTTCTCTATCGTTTTTTAGTTTGTTGTCTCCAATATCCTGAATGGCTGAATCATCTTCGGCAGTTAGACACGTTATACGAGGGGGCGGATCCCTTCTCAGTAGGAAATTTTTTTTCCATATCGAGACAGACAATGTGGAAGTAGTGAATAAAGTGTGCGACACAGTCATTAAACTAGGTCTGGGTCTCGGCGCTCTGTATGCTAGTTATAAATTACTGAAACCACTAGTGGACGTTGCAGTGCAAAATGCTCTTGGTGGCAACCACGATGGTCAAGATCCTCCTGACGTTAAACCTGGATCTTTGCGTGTTGTGTTACATTGTCTCACAGACATCAGGTTTATGGAGATCTTAGAGGATTATGAATCAGGAAGGATGAAGGAACGCTTGCAGGAAGAGTTTTCCAAGGTTGGAATCAAAGTAGAAGGACTGAAGGTGAAGATTGAAAACATTGAGGAGGTGAATGAGACAAAGGAAGTAATTATGAAGAGGTAAATGTCTGATTATTACGAAATTATTATGCAATCTATTCCCGAGAATAATTTATAGCCCAATGGACGATTTGCGCTTTAGACTAATTTTTAATCGAAGTAACAAGAAAATAAATCATCACATGCAGTTAGAAAGATCGATATTACTTAAATTAGTGCAAATGCAAAGTTTGGCTGCGAAATTTTGTAAAATACGGAAAATATAGCCATGTGAAGATGGCATATACGTGAGGAAATGTGTAACTAAAATAGTTACAAACTTCCATCCGTATAAAAGTATACAAAATTCGTGAACTTCGCATGGCTATATTTTCCAAAATTTACAACAATTCGCAGCCAAACTTGGCAGTTTTACTAATGCGTTCTTTCAAAAAATGTCCTTTTTATCGCCGGGCTAATAAATTAGTCTAAAGCGCAAGTCGTCCAATATAGCCCAAATTTTTCATGGAAGGGGTGGGGAGAAGGAAGGTGCTTTGTAACTATATGTATAAAGAATAGCATGGTTTCGAGTTCAATTTGGATATAACATACACGAGTGAGTTTTTCAAGGTCACAAGAAACTCCGATTTGAAATTTTGAACCACCCAAGTAACAAATCTTTCGCACATTCCCTGATAAGGCCATATTACACCGTGTAATTTTTATGCAACTTGCAATACAATTCATGATTTTTATGGATTTATAAATGGCAATTGCGGAAGTTTTGCGTTTATTAAACTCATGTTTTTACACTGCAATGACTTTTCAGTAATGAACATTTCGTAGAAGCAGAATTATGTTGCCAGTGCATCGAACCACCGCAGGGGGCTTTAAACCGTCTCACACTTTAATAACTCTTATCCCCGAGCCGGTGCGGAGCACCGTGCGAGGGTACTAATTCCGCCCGGAGATTAGGAATTACACCCGGGACCCGGGAGAACATAGCGGAATCCAAAGTTGCCCAAATGTCATGGACGTTCAATGGTCATGGTACTTGTGCGCATGCGCGAAATGCAAACGAGTGTAGACTGGTAATCAGCAACTTCCTGATTGGCTAAGACGAAACGTTTGTGTTTCAGTGAAAAACGTCAGCAATTTAACTGTCATTTTGCAAACTGTCAAACTATTTTTTAAAAAAATGTTTCGAAAACAAAATATGAAATGTGGAATCAAATAACAGATAAAACACTGGAAGAGTTTAAAATATTATCAGAACTGGAGGAATTAGCGGTGAAAAGGAACAACTCGATTATAATCCTTGAAATGGTAGGAGTCTATTTTGTTTATTTCGAGGTTTATTTCGTGTTTGCTGTACGAATACATTTTATGACCTTGGTACAGTATGTCGTTTGCTCGGTTTGCGAAGACGTGACCGACTATTTAAGGCTTTACATCATCGTTTTAACCTCCAAGAGAGTCCTTAAAAGTGTAATTCGGAGTTTTAATATAACAAATATCACTTTAAAGGTTTATATATAATGTATGGTCGACTGCAATCACTGCATGAATTTAATAATCGAAAAACAACATTCGACGTTCACTGCTTGGTTATTTATATTATTTTGGCTGTTTTGATGTTTTGAAGGTTTAGCTATAATGAAGTATTAACTCTCACTTAAACTGTGAAAGTCTATAACTTAATGCAACGGAAAGCAGCTGGAAAACGGGTGATTTCACTTCACCGTTACGACTGTGTTTGTTTCCGAAATATTTGAAACATCAGCTATCGGCTTTACATTTAGGACATTTCATAATATTGAAGGTTAGGTCTGGCAAGCTCAGGAAATATTTTGCTTCGTTTGAAATGGCGAGGGGTTGCTGCATGCATGTATTTCTAGTATAAAATATAACCACAAATAATGCATGCCATAATCAGGCAAAATGCCCCGGGTACGAGATTGTGTCACAATGCAAATTATGCACGCTTAATTTTTGGAACGTAGGCAAAAGAAATTGGCATCGCAATGTGTTTACACGGCATTTTTCTTTCTCATCTCGCGTGCCACAAAATCCTAAAAGCGCCCAATATAATACTTTTGGCCCCCATAACCAATCGCCGATGCTATATAAGTCAGCCGTGTAGTAGCATTTTCTGGCAGGAAACTTAAATGGCGGGTATTAAAAAAGCAGAGAAGCAACAATTAAATCAAATAGCCATGGCTTGGTTGAGGAAAAGAAGGAATTGGAGACAAAGTTTTAGGTCATCGAGTAATCATGTCATAAATGCATTTTTGCTTTTGTTTTAGTTTCGGTGTATTTACTAATCATAACGTGTTGAATGACTTCATTACCCCAAGTTTGTATTGAATCCTTCGTTTTCACGTCCGACCATTCTTTTCCTTTGCTGTTCTTCGCGTTCATTTTGCCGAACTATTTTTTGGCTTTAAAGTATCTTGACAATGTTTAGATACACCCGGTATAAATAACTTTGAGAAAACGACTGTCCTGATGTTAAGTGCTTCCGGAAGTCAAGTCCGTATGTAAAAAAACGGTTTGTTTACATTTTGAACATCAAACTCTTTATATCTAAAACTATTTAGATTCGTTACGTTACGAAACATTGGAAATTTTGTTAATTTTTAAATTAAAATGCGCTAACATGTTGTGAGCAGAACCGATGCGCAGAACAGGCTTGACATCCACTTTAAGTGGACAGCCTGGTATATTATCAGCTACTATACGAGGTAGCTTGACCCAACAATAACGCAATAATTTTCTTAGTAGAGAATTATGCTGTTCGAAGTATAGTACTATACAGTCGATAGTGTAATTTTTAACTTCATCTATTCATAATATACGCAGGTCCCGGACCAAGAATATTTCTGTTAGCGACATCGAAAATCTTGTTATTAGTGATGTGGAGGATGGTAATAAAGATAAGGAGGTAGGAATACTTAAGGCGGTTAAATTTCGCGATTGGTTTTTTAAAACCGATGAATGTATCAAAAAATCTTTTGTACCTTTGGTCCTAAGGTATTAACTCCATCTAGGAATTTAAAGAAAAAATTCGTATGACACACTAAAACAGAAACGGAGCTAGTTAATTAAACTCTTAATTGGGGGGAGGGAGAAATTTTTACATATTAATGTTCAAATAGGCGTGAAAACAATCGCTATGAAAAGAAATAAGTGAGGCACAAGACGAATTTATGACTATTTCCCCCTCCCAAAAAAAAAGGTATACAAATAATTCTCCTAAGGGCAATTACTTTCTTAGGCTAAATTACAAACAGAAATGGTTAAACGTGATTCACAACTGGCATCTAAACAAAAAGCTCTTGAAATTAGTCTAAAGCAATACGGAGAAGATCATCCCGACACAGCTAACAGTTACAACAACATTGGATATGCACAAAATAAGATGAAAGACTTCAAGTCAGCATTAGTTTCAAATCAAAAAGCTCTTCACATCAGATTGAAATTATTTAAAGAAGATCATCCCGACACAGCTAACAGTTACCACAGCATTGGATACGCACAACATGAATTAAAAGATTTCAAGTCAGGATTAGTTTCATTTCAAAAATCTCTTCACATCAGATTGAAACTATTTGGAGAAGATCATCCCGACACAGCTAGCAGTTACCACAACATTGGATGCACACAAAATGCGATGAAATATTTCAAGTCAGCATTAGTTTCACATCAAAAAGCTCTTCACATCAGATTAAAACTATATGGAGAAGATCATCCCGACACAGCTGATAGTTACCACAACATTGGATACACACAAAATGAGATTAAAGATTTCAAGTCAGCATTAGTTTCACATCAAAAAGCTCTTCACATCAGATTGAAACTATATGGAGAAGATCATCCCAACACAGCTGACAGTTACAGCAACACTGGATACGCACAAAATGGGATGAAAGATTTCAAATCAGGATTAGTTTCGTATCAAAAAGCTCTTTACATCAGATTGAAACTATATGGAGAAGATCATCCCGACACAGCTAGAACTTACAGCAACTTTGGATACATACAAAATAAGATGAAAGATTTCAAGTCAGCATTAGTTTCATATCAAAAAGCTTTCGAAATCAGTTTAAAACTATTTGGAGAAGATCATCCCGACACAGCAAATAGTTATTTCAGCATCGGCTTTACACAACATGCGATGAAAAATTACAAGTCTGCGTTAGAATCGAAACAAAAAGCTTTCGAAGTCAGATTAAAAATATATGGAGAAAATCATCCCGACACCGTAGAGACGTATCGTGAGATTGGTGTCACGCAACGTTCAATGAGGAACCTCCACGCAGCACTTGACCTGCATCAATATGTCGTACAAGCGCGACTGAAACTGCATGGTGAATACCACGACGATACTGCTTTTAGTTATGTCAGCCTGGGAATCACACAACGCGAGATGAAAGATTACAAGTCTGCTTTAGAATCGCATGAACATGCTCTAAGAATCAGTTTGAATTTGCATGGAGAAAATCATCCTGACACTGCCGATATTTACAGCAACATTGGAGCCACACAATGTGAAATGGGAAACTACAAACCCGCATTAGAGTCGCACAACAAATCACTTCAAATTAGATTGAAATTGTTTGGAGAACATCATCCCGACACAGCTGATAGTTATACCCAAATTGGGATCGCACAACAGGAAATGCAGGATTACAATTCAGCATTGGAGTCCAAACCAAAAGCTCTACAAATCCTAGTAAAACTCTTCGGAGAAGATCATCCTGAGATGGCTGAATATTCTCTCGATATTTTTCGGGTAAAAGGTCTTTTGAATAATAAGGCCAGCCCTGGACAGATACAAAGGAAACCGCCAGTTTGGAGCGATTATTTGTAGAGAAGAGCATCTGAACATTTAAAAAAATTTCAACTACATTTTTTGTTTGTTAGGCCATATTAGAGTGTACATTCAGAGCATATCTAATATCGAATCTAAATTCCAGTTTTTATTCGCCATTGTTAGTTTATAGGGTTGCGCATATCCATTAGAATTTTATGTTTGTTTCTTATGCGGCAGAAATGTAATGTATGAGCGCGAATCAAGCATGGATGTAATCATAGACCAAAATATAATGTCTTCTGGATTGTCTATGACGTCATTGTGTAAGCCCGTATTAATTAACTGTAAGTATAGAGTAATAAGCGCATATAGGTAAAGTGTGAGGTAAATTAGACGTGTGCAGATGACACGCCCATAAAAGAGACAAGAAGAGAGATCTGTAATACGAGTAGAAGTCAGATACTTGTTAAAGATATCACTTGTTGATTTAAATAATAATATAAGTATTGGACTGAAATATTGAATAAACAAACTAGTTTTAGCAAATATAGTGTTCAGTTGAAATACCAAGTAACTAAATTTATAACAAAAACTTTTTAGGTTAAAATACATAGGGTAGAACATATCATATTATCGCACAAAAGTAGTACTCCTTGTTTTTCGTTATTAAGAATTTTTTCCGTTAATTTTATTAAGAATACCGTTTTTAGCTCGCCTGCACTTTAGTGCAAGAGAGCTATTGCTATAGTCTTGGCGTCCGCGTCCCCGTCCCCGTCCCCGTCCCCGTCCGCGTCCACACTACATGATAAGTAGAATGTTAAGAAGCCACTTTTATTTTCCCATTATTTTCAACTCATCTACTTAAGGAGTCTATTTGTTGCAAAAGAACCATTTACCAGGGGGGAGTGAACATTATACAACAAAATATAATGATAAGGTCAATGTTAAAATGCTATATTTTTTCTATACTTTAGCTTTACATCAGAGGAATCATTATCAATATAAGTCATCAATATGCATTGTGACTATTTAGTGCCATTTGGTACGCATTTATACAATAATAAAGAGAGTTTTGCTCAAAATTATCAAATATAAGGTGAATGTTAAGCTAATTAGCATAATGATAAGGTCAATGTTAAGATGTTATATTTTTTAAATATTATGGCTTTGCATCAGAAGATTCATCATAAATATAGCTCATCGATATGTCTTGTGACTATATGGTGACATTTAGTACACATTTACAAAAAAATAATGGGAATTTTGTTCAAAATTATCAAATGATAAGGTGAATGTGAAGCTAATTAGCATAATGATAAGGTCAATCCCTTACGAAAATGTTCTATAGAATCCTATAGAATATGCTATAACATATTCTAAATCCCATAGAATATTCTATAGGACTTCTTATCCTATAGCATATTCCATTGCCATATTCTATAGAATTTAGAGATGCTATAGAATATTCTATTGCACATTCACATTAAACATCCAATAATATATTCTATAGAACATGCTGTACACAATATTCTATAGAATTTTGAGATGCTATAGAATATTCTATTGCACATTCACATTAAATATCCAATAATATATTCTATAGAACATGCTGTACACAATATTCTATAGAATATATGTTATACAGAATGAGACCTTTATGCAATTTAAAATATAACATTTTTAGTACACTATTCATTGGTCGAGAATTATATTCGCATTTTTTGTAAGGTTCTCTCAACATACTTTTAAAGTCTTAAAGTTAAAATTCTCAGCAGAAATCATTCGTTTTGTAAAGACAAATGACGAATATTTCACACATATGACATATCTCATATCTGTTTCATAATATGCCTGTTCGCAGGTTAGATGGCGGGCGTTTTGCCCAAACAAGGCCGCAAGGTTATGTGGGACTTGTTTAACCGCCACGCATTATTTTCAAATTTTGAGCGCGTCTGTCTTTGTCTGTAGTTTGTCATCCGTTGATTCAACGTTTTATAACTGATACTGGTAGAATTTAGTGCGTTTTTCTTTCGTATTTTAACATGAAATACGCATTCTTTGAATTTGTCAAAGAGGAATCATAGGAGGGTGGTGAAACGCGCTGTATTATGCGAGAAGAATCAGAAGATATGGATAATTTTGTTAATGCCTGAAAGGTGACTAGGATCGTGAGAAAGAAAAGCCATGGCAATGAGAAATTTCTAAAGTTAAGAAAATAATCAAAAGTTCATTGACCCATCTACAACAACATGTGTAGCTAAAGTATTGGAATTCAGTGGTGAGTGTGTTTTGTATATGCTATAAATGCTATATGTTTGCATAGGCACATATGTTCTCTATACCATTATAATTAATCTCATAAATTTTTATTCACCTTTAGATTAAACTTTTATTTGAACATTTTATTTACACCTTTTATTTATACCACTATAAATAGAGCCATTCCAACTAAAAATTATTTCTGTCAAGACATTTGCACTAGCTCAAGATAGATTTTATATGTCATTAAAATTGAATTAAATATAAGCTAGGTCTCGAGCGTTTAATTGTGTATTTACTGTTAAAATTTACAGATTTCCTTTTGTCCAAACATCACACTAACCAAAGATCAAAATGGAGCTCTATTAAAGCAATATTAAATGTGAAAGGTTTTGTTTATGCAGTGCTGTGGATGCAAGAACAACTTTCCTCTCATTCCATCACTGGAAAGGCTTCAAATGCCTACCTTAATTCAAAGAAAAGGATGCAAAACCAGAGCCAGAGAAAGTTAAGAGTATATATGGTAAGCAGTATAATTGTTAGTAATTATGTCTGGTCTAAGTTAATATATCTTATATACACATCTTGGTTCAGTTATTGATGAGTTTTACCTTTTCTAGCTGTGTCTAAAGTATGGTGCAAAAAGGTTTGAGGGAAAAGAGGCTGACATATGACAAGTTATGGCACCAAAGATTAATAATATTGTGCAAGTTGAGAAAACCAAGTTGAAAGATCTGGACATCAGTAACTATATGACATTCCATTTTCTACTATTTACATGTTCTGTACATGTAAATATATTTAGTATAATAGCCTAGTTATATTTTTGCTATTTTCTTCCACAGTCATTTTATTTGGTGGGAAAACTGCAGTATGGTAATAATTTTATCTAGAAAATATTGAATAAATTTATACATTCATAAAAACCTAAGCTAAAATATTTCAATTTGAGTGACACCATATTGTTTTCAATTACTTAGTGCATAATATTTCAATTGAATCCTCCTCAAAATGTGTGAAATGTATATAATTTTCACTTAACTACCATTGAAGCTAAACAGCCTTCAAACAACCGGCTGCAGTTGTTTTATCCACGAAACAAAATGATTATTTGACAGACTTAATTACCAGAACTAGAGTTCTACATGCAGATTAAAGTTATATGGACACTTATAGGACTTGTTTTTTATTCTTTGTTGTATAATATATGTATTTCAATTTCTTTAATCTCTAGATTTATTTATATGTAATTTAAGCAAGGCATTTTCATTAAATCTTTGCATCAATTGAACTTTAAGTAAATAAATTTGTTACATATATTTGGGAATATCTTATTTGTTTGTATGTCTCACTCTTGGCAGAAAGAAGTTTTGATTATGTTGTTATAAAGTGATATATTACAAAGTCAAAACATGGACGAATGTTGAATATACCATTTATCATCCAATAGCATATTTAATAGATTATCCTATAAAATATACTATAGAATACATATTCTATGGAACATATTTTATCACATATTCAATAGGATCATTAATGGAATATTCCATAGATTGAAAATATTTTATGGAACATTTCATATAGGATGTCATAGAATATGTGTTAGAATGTTCCATAGAATACCAGTATTCTATAGAACATTCTAATGAATGTTCTGAAGGATATTCTATTGAATATTCTATAAAACATATCATATATTATAGAATATTCTATTAAAGGTGCTATAGAACATGTTGTAGAACGTTCCATAGAATAGGTTCCAAAATCCCTTAGAATATTCTATAGGATATTCAGTAGAGAATTTTAATGGAATATTCTATAGAACATTTTTGTAAGGGATGTTAAGATGCTATATTTTTTAAATATTATGGCTTTACATCAGAGGAATCATCATAAATATAAGTCATCGATATGCATTGTGACTATTCAGTGCCATTTGGTACACATTTATACAATAAAAAAGAGAGCTTTGCTCAAAATTATCAAATGATAAGGCAAATGTTAAGCTTATTAGCATCATGATAAGGTCAATGTTAGAGTTATCCAGAGTTATCACGCTCATTACGATTTTCAGGGCTATTGTGTAGCCCTGTTTTTTTTAGTTCAAAGTTGTAGCTGAATCATATTTAACGAAAGTATTTGTACAACCCTAAGCCAAATGAGAAACTTTCAAATATTTTCACCTGTATGCTACCATTTGTTTGTATTGTACATGTACAATTATGAATTATGAGATTGTGTTGTGACATGCCGTATCAAAATTCAATCGCTTAATATAGAAATCATTCAGGGAGTGAATATATATAAAACATAGTCCAACGTTAAAGTTTAAAGAATATTGTCAGATAATTCGCAATTACAAGCTTTAGCACATAAGTATTTATAAGTAGAAAGCCGATAGGCTCGGAATGCAAAGGCAAATGGCAACGCATGTGACATATATTTGCATAATATTTATGTAGATACACATGCAAATATATTATTAAAGCCAGTTAAATCGTAGACAGGGCCCTTGAACTACCTATAAGATTTATGTACATACCTTTTCCTTGTTTGATGCATAATCCTTTTTTGTGTAGATATAAAAATCCAATCTTGTTTATTTCATAAAGCTAGGCGCACACACGACGATTTTAGTCGGCCGATTCCTGTCTAGATTGTCTAGATGGATGTTTTCATCAAAATGTGGCGACTGGCGATCTATACTTGCCTTTTTACTTGGTCATAATATTAGACCAAGTAGACTCGCGTACACGCGCGAGGCGCGAGCGCCGCGAGAAGGAAAACATGTCTGGGCA